AGTCTTGCTCAAGAGCTCACCAAGAAAAGTCTGGCCCCTTTTTTTCTGAAAAGTCAGGTTCAGGGAGGTTCCCAGGGCCTGGGATTCAGGTAAGAAAAAAGTTAGAAAAACAGACCCCCGGAAAAGACACGGGACGGGGGTAACAGGCTGCGACCCCCAGGCAGAGGAATGGTGACAGAGAGAAGACTTCTGGGCTGGGCCCCCGAGGGGAGGAAGGGGCCCCCGAGAGGAAGAAGAGACCCCACCAGGCCAGGGTAGTTCTCCAGCAGAGCCTTTGGTCTGAAGTGAGGAGAAAGGTGGTGTCTATGGGAAGCTGGGTTCAGGGACTGGGAAGCCCAAGGAAAACAGTGGACAGACCAATTTTATGTTGTTTTGAGCTGGTTTCCCCAGAGGTAAACACTAAGAAAAAGGTACAAGGGAGAGTAGTTTATTTGGGAACTGACCCCAGATGGCACTGACAGGGAACAAGGGAAGTATGACAGGGAAGGGCATAAAGGAGGTTATAGGCACCCAGTGACTGTGGGCAACTGAGGCTGGTTTTACTGCAAGACTCTGGGCGGCAGAGGAGACCACACCTCAGACCTTCCCTCCTGTGCTAGGCTGCCAGGGCTCCCCAACTAAGTGCCGCAGTCTGGATGGCCTGAAGCATGGAAATGTGTCGTCTCACAGTTCTGGAGGCAAGGGGCCTGAGATCAAGGGGTCACAGAGCCGCGCTCCCTCTGAAGGTGCCGGGGAAGGACACTCTGGGTGCCATGGCTGGTGGCAGTGACTCCACTCTTCCCACAGTGTCTGCTGTGTGTGTCTCTGTGTCTGAACTTCCCCTTTCTCCAAGCTCCATATGTGGCTCCAAGTTCACAGCTTCTTGGAAATGGCCTGGCAAGCAGACAGCGGGTTGAACCTGCGGTTAATGCCCATGTCAGAAAGGATGCAGAGCCTGCTCACAGAGCTCAGTTGCCATCTCACCTGTGACTCAGGGCTGGTTCTAAAGTGACAGGTGGCTGAACCTGGATCCTCATGAAAAGCTAGGAAATAGCCTCAGGGTTTTGTTTTTCCCACAGCAAAGGCACGCTGGGTAAGGACCTAGGACAACAAAAAGTTGCCCAAAGGAAGGAGGCAAGGAAGGGTAGTCCAAGTGGAAAGAAGAGCATGTACCACGCCGAGGAGAGGAGAAGCCTCCCTCGGGCCGTTCTGGGTGGCTGGAGCAAGTGTGAAGGAAGGGCAGCACGGGATGAGGCCGGCAAGGTCGCCCCCATGTGAGAGTCAAATCTCTCAAGGCCTTATAAGTACATGAAATACGTTGGCCTTATCCTGAGAGCGATAGGAACCATAGATCAGACTTAAGCAGGGAAATACACACTTATTCCTCCAGCAAGGTGTTCTCCCACCCTCCTAGCCTGGAGAAAGGGTAACCCTTTCTGTTGATTCTGGCACAGATCATGGTTGAGTGTAAAGTCCCCTGTGTACAGAGGGCTCCAGGAAACAATAAAAAGCTGATGTCCTGGCTCCTACAGGTCCATTAAGAAATGTCACAAGCAATCAGGCAGAGAGATACCGTGATGGCATTTCGGTTCTGCAAAAAGAACAAACATCCGCCTGGGAACGCTGCCATGGAGGTGCACTGGCAGGAAGCAGCAGGCGATGGTGGCTGCCAAGGGGGAGGAGACGGGATGGGCGCCAGCGGGCGAGCCAAACCCCCCTAGACGAGTGGCCTCCTTGCCCCACACCCCTTTCAGGACAGGTAAATAGCATCACCCTCATTTTACAGAAGAAGCAGCCAAGGCCCAGAGAGAGAGGTGCCCCAGAACACATGGCTAATAAGTGGCAAACGCAGGTCCGTCTGATGGGAGCATCCATCTTCTTTCCCAACATCACAGGCCTCTTACTGCCTGATCCTCTCAGAACAAAAACCACATGTACTGCACCCACTGCTCAGCCCTTGCTTTTGCATCTTCTGGTGGGACTTGTCTACAACAGCAGGTGATGTGTTGTAATGGCTGAGAACAGGACTCCAGCAGCCTCAGAATTACAGACATCTAGCTTAGCGTCATCAGGAGAAAAGGGCCTCTCTCTCCAGTTTCCATAAATCCATCCAAGGAAAAACTCTGATTGGCATTGCTTGGGTCATATGCTCCTTCCCAAACCAAGCACAAGGAAATCACAATGCCTTGATTGGTCAGCCCCTTTGGACAGGATGAGGATACCATAATGAATGTCCTCCAATCCAGAACCACAGGTAAGTGTTCAACCTCGATTTTAAGGGTCAGGGAAGACTTCCCAGAGGAATTGTCTTCTACACCGAGACCCGAGGATGAATAAGAGTGTCCCAGCCAAAGAAGCAGAAGAACAGTGTTCAGAGGGCCTAGCACTGAAAGGCCCAGGATGCTCAAAGAACATCTCACTCACAACAGCATCTCCCAAGCCTAGTGCACAGCCTGCCTTCCCATGAGCACTCAGAAAATGCTTCAGTAACACAATCCATAATTGGCTGTGTGTCCTTAGACAAGTCATTTGCCCTCTCTGACCTTCAGCTTCCTCCTCTAGCTGGTGGCTTAATCATCCTAACCATACAGGACTATGCAAGAATCTAATTACTTCCAAATACTCAAGTACTTGCTCAGTGCTCGACTTGCACTAAGACCTGCAGGAGACAAGGCCTGCCTGCCATGGAACAGAAAAGGGCTTATGCACTTGGCCAGCTATGAGAAGGGGTCCAGGGAGGGGCAGTATAAGGGGAAAGGCTCAAGGACAGTGAGGGCAGAAAATGGGCTCTCCAGTCAAGGAGACCCCATGCTCCCCACCGCCCTGCCCCATTCACCTGTGATCACGCACTGCCCTGGAGCCACCAAAGCTGTGCCCGAGCCCATCAAGCAGCCATGCACGGAGGGCATTGGGACAGCTCTCCCTGTGCCCTTGCCCCAGAACTTCCTAACCTGAATAACAGGTTGTGACAATCTCAGCAAGAACAAGGAGGAAAGAAACTTTTGTGTTTGAGTGGCTGCAGAGTGACTCCTCGCCCCACCCTGCCTGCACACCTGTTCCAGGCGCCTTTGTCTCTCCCTCCCCCCTCCCCCAAGGAGGCCAGTCCTGGGCTCCGACTCAGCACCAGTCTGGCAGGGTGAGCCATCTGGGGACTCAGGAGAGCAGAGAGCCCTGTAAGTGCTGAGGGCATCGTCGGAGACGGCCAGGAGAGACATCAGGCTGAGAAAGCCCTCGCCACCCCTGTCCCTCCCCTGCCCCTGCTCTGAAACCAGAGTTTTTGCTTGGCATGGGCATGACAGCAAGAGGCTAGCCCCCTGCCAGGTAGGCGCCCCCACCTTCTATCTTTTCTCTCTCTCTAACCTCAATCTCTCTCTCTTTCTCTCTCTCTCTCTCTGAATCTGGGTGTACACAATTCATATTTTTTCTTTATCTCTGTTCTCCTCCATGTCCTGGTCTCTCTCTCATTGCCTTGTTCTTTCTTTTTTTCTGTCCCTATATCTCTGCCATTTCCCATTCCCCCTTGTTCTTGTCTTTGTCCCTCCAATCTCTGTCTCTGTGCACACTCCCTCTGTGAATATCCGTGTCTGTTCATTTATCTGCCTAACCCCTTCTCCCTTCTGTCTGACCCCGCCCCTGTCCTTCCATCCTGTCCGCCCCGGCTACCCTAAATCCTCCATGTATGGGGGACCCCACAGAAGGTCCTTCCAACCTCATCCAGGAGCCTGGGCTGCTGGACTGTAGGTCATGCCCAACAACATTCAAAAGCATAATATATTTTTATATCTGGGAAAAGAAAAAGGTTGGTCATTTGAATTTCAGGAAGTTAAGTTCTACAAAACCCCTGTGGGTGGGCCAGGCTCAGCTTTCTCACTTAGAAGGCCCTAGAGGAGTAGGGCCAGGGTAAGTGGGAGGACTTTTATAAGTCTTAAACGGAGACGTGCATTTGCACTTGTTGTTGCTGTTGTTTCAATCATAGACCCAGCCCAACTGCCTCAGTACCAGGTCCCCTAGCTCATACCTGGATGCTTGGCGGTTGGGATTTGGACACCAAGTCTGTTGAAATAGATTCTTAAGATTAAGAAGATTCTGGGGTGGGGAGGGGACAGGAAGAGTGGTGAGAGCAAGTCACTGCCATCAGAGACCCATCAGAGGCCTGTCAGAGACCCTCCAGCTGGCTGTGGAGAGTCTGAGACCTGGGACAGTTATCTCTAGCCCCCTCTCTGCTCCTCGGCACCTCCAGAGTCCTGCTGGGAGCTTTCAAAGCTGCCGAATCACAGGTAACTGCCCAGCCTCTGGGGGTTGGCACAGGGGAGAGGTGGGCCCAAGGATGACCCTAGCCCTGCCCAGGACTCAACCAGGGAGGGAACTTCGATTTCAACTCTCCCCTGAGACAAAAAGCACTGTGGGGATTGGGCAGCCAGAGGCCTGCATCCAAATTCTGACTCTGACCCTTGCAAGCTGAATAACCCTGAGCTTAACCATAGTCTTAGTTTACTCACCCATAAAATGCACGGTTGTGAGGGTTAAAGCAAATAATGCATATACAGCACCCAGCACAAACTCCCCTTTAATATGCAGATCCTGATTGGTCTTTATTTTGCTACATTAGCAAAGATCTCTTGAGTTCTACTCCCTGATGGTTTCCATGGGCTAGCTATCTCAATATCTCTCAGCTGACTGGATGGATGAACGAGCAGATGAATGGATGGATGGATGGATGGATGGACAGATGAACAGATGACCTCAAATGGTCAGTGACTGGCAAACTGCACCTGCCTCTACTTTTTAATCTCTTTGCATGAAAAAGACATGGTGAATATAAAACCCCAGGGCAAAAGTGAAGGAAAGGTGAATGCAGAGCAAGAAAGAAGAAAACTGCTCCCCTCCTCATAAGGCAGATGGTGAGGAACCGAACTGAAGGGGAGATGACCTCAGTTAGAGACACCCATCCCTAATCTTCAGTCTTGTTGACTTTCAGACCCCAGATACTGGTTTCCAATTCAATTTTCTTCTCTCCACAGGCTAACGCTGACCCCAAGCCACTCCTCACCTGGACAGGATGAGAATATCAGGTAGGGCCAGGGCTGAGAATTATATGGCCCATGACTGAGGTCCAATATTGGTTTCAGAATCATTTTTCTGTCAGCAGAGTCTCCTGTTCTGGACTCAGAGGTCATTTGGCTGTATCTTCTTCAAATGGTCAGGCCAGAATTCCAGGAGGAAACCAATCTAGGGCGAGCCTGGAGGAGTGGAAGAGGTGACTTTCTGCCTCTAGGAAGAAGGGCTGGAAGAACTTTGGCACAGTGACCCTGCTTGGCTGGGGTCATGGGGATTCCTTACCTTGGAAATACCTGACCTTAACTGGAAATTAGGGACAAAATATTTGCTTCAAGGAAGGCTCTTGTAGAATCCTCATATCATAGGGCTAAGCATGAGGAGAAGCCTTTGCCTTCCAGTCTACACCTTCATGTTATACCTCCTTTGTGCAGATAGAGAAATTGAGGCACCAAATAGGAAATGAACAGAGTTCATTGACATTCCCAAAGAGCAGTGAGGCAGTTAAGAGCACAAGTTTCAAAGTCAGCTTACTGCCCTGGATTCTAATCCCACCTCTATCACTTACCAACCAAGTTACCAGCTCTCTGAGCCTTAGTTTCCTCATCTGCAAAATGTAAATAACAAGCAGGATCCAGCACAGAGGGTTGCTGTGAGGATGAACTGAGAAAATGCAGGTAAAGGCTGTCAGCACAGTGCCTGGTACAAAATGAGTGTTGTGTGATGTGATCCCCAAGAGAAATGCTGGGTGCCTACGCCATACTGTCCTAGAAGATGAGGGACACCCACACACCTGAGCTCCACCCCATGGGATTCAGGGTGCTTCCTTGCCCATCCCAGGTAGCTTGAGGCCAGAGAGCTGAAGTCAGAGCTAAGAAGAAGGGTGATGCTGAGAGGGAGGTCAGGCAAAGGGTAGGGAACTCTTCTGGTGACTGGACTGGATCCAGGAGGCAGCTGGAGCCCCCGGAGTCCTTAGTGGGCAGTGCATTAAAGCCTGTTTCTCGACCTCATGGAAGGGTAAGGAAAGGCACCAGGAGCTTGGGGTGGTCCATCCCATGTGTGGGGTTGCTCTCTAGTGATGGCTGTGGAGCAGGGGTCAGGCAATCTGTCTGCGTGTCAGGAGAGGCCACCACAGCAAGGCCAGTGTGTGTTCTTGTCCAGGATTTTGTGTGGTTATTTGCGGTGGCTCTTGAGGGGGTCAATGGAAAATGTGGGAACGAACCTCACTCCCCAAGCCACCTTGGAGGCTGCCTACCAGGGACAACTATCACATTTCTCCCCATAAGCCATGGGCTCAGTGGCACGGGTGTTACTATGTCCACTCTGTGACTGAGGTACTCCAACTCAGAGAAGCCTAGCTCCTGTCCGAGATCACATACCAGTGGATGGCTGCCCCAAGCACTGAACACAGCCTTCTTGTCCTCTGTGGCTCGCATCCAGGGCTGTCTTCAGCAGAGTCTTCCTCCTACTATCTGCTGCAGGTCCCCAGGCCTCACCCCTAGAGATTCTCTCTCTGAGGGGCTCCAGGAAGGTGCATTTCTAACTTTCTCTCTTGCTGGCCCCACTTGGGGGAATGTGGCCATGTTGTCTTGCAGCATGATCTCACCATTCTATCATTGCATGGTTCACACTGGTCCCACCTCGTGGGCCCATGAGCTGGTCTACAGTATGTGTGTGCTATGGACCTACAACATAAGGTCTCATAATACAGTCTCACTGTGGGGACTTGGCAAGGGCTCACATGTAGTCACACTACATGGTCTTACGATGTGGCCTGGTGCTGTGATCTCATGGCAATGTCTCCTTGCTCTGCAGTACTGCTTCGCTTCCTGACCCTCATTTTTGTCCTGATCACCTCATGGATCATTATCCAGAGCTATATCAGCTTCAGCATGAAAACCATCCGTCTGCCCCGCTGGCTGGGTGAGTACTGCTCACTGCTGAGAGGCGGACCTGTGGACAAGGGCTAATGGCCAAGGATCCATTCTTCCCCCCATCTCTAGTGACTCCAGAGACATTGGCAGGGTGTGAGCTTGCTCTTGGGACCCCAGCCACAGGGGGTGGGAGGTGAGAGAGGACACCCAGGCTGTCAAAAACCTGGAGTCCATGGAGAACAGAAAAGTGTCCCAAGGCCCTGACCAAAGCATATGCCTGCACCAATGGCTAGTTTGGAAATGTGACCCAAGAAGGAAGGACAGGAGGAGGGCGAAAAGAAGGGAGGGAGAAGGGAAAGGAGAAAACTGTGCATTCAGTGGCTTCCATGTGCACCTGCTGTTCCCTCTGCCTGGGACCCCCTTCACGCAGATCTCCCTGTGGCCACCTCCTGTCAGCCTTCAGGTGCCTGCCCAAATGTTACTGCCTCAGAGATGTCTTCCCTGACCCCCTCAGCTACAGCTGCATCCTCTCCTCCTCCTACTTTAGCCTCTCTCATATCAGCCCTTTTCTTTTAGAGCATCAGGATGAACAACGCTTATTTATTTACTGGGTGTTGCCTATCTCCACCCTCTGGAATTTAGATTTCCTGAAGGCAAGGATTTTATCTTGTGTAGATTCATCTCTCTAGCACTCGGTGTAGAGCAGATCCTCAATAAATATTTGATAAGTGAAAGAAAAATGGATGGATTGATGGATGATGGACAGATGAATGAATGATGAATGAATGGGTGAACAGATGGGTGGAAGATGGATGGGTGACAGATGCCAGCTGCTTTGCATGCATAGTCTCATTTAACCTGTACGAATGCCCCATGGGGTGATCTGTGGTGTGACTATGGAGTGGACTCGTGCATGACCTCATGTTGTAGCTTTATGTGTGGTCTGAGAAGCTCAGGGAGATTAAGAAATTTACCCAAATTCCCCATGGAGATGTCAGAATAGGAATGGGAACACAAGATTCCCAGATCCAAATCTTATCAAAGAAAGGAGAGAAATGAAAGGGATTTATATATCTGAATTTGTCCTCCTCAAAGACCAAGAACAAAGTCCAATGACATAGTCAAACATAATAATCTATAGTTGCCCAGCTCAGCTCACAGCCTCAAAGCAGTAAAAAGCCAGTCACCCTGTCTTTAACACAAACTCCCCACAGCAAAGTCTCAGACATCCCTTACCTCATCCACTTGTCAACCATGGTTCATACCCAGGTCAGGATGATTCATGTAGGTGCATGATGGCCACCATGCCCCCAGGCCTGGAGCATGGCTTTTGTAGACAAGAGGTTGACTGGGCTGTGCCGATGGCCTTGGAGGAGATAGGCCCAGGTCAGAGATGGAGGCTCAGGGCAGGAGAGGAGATCAGGTTTGCCCTCTAGAGGAGACAGCCCCAGGGAGAGGTGGGAGAGGGGATCATGTTTGAAAGGAGAACCCACAAAATGTTTCCCTCTCAGAACTCAACTACCTTGGGTTTGACAAATCAACATCTCTACCCAAATCATCAAGTGCTTAATCTGTGTTAGGTCTCAGACCCTGAAATGAGGAACACATGGCCCCAGCTGCTGGGGAGACAGAGAGACTTAATTACAGAACATGTAAAAACACGAGTGCGTTAACATGATTCAGAGTCTCAAGAAATGCTAACAGTGGCAGGAAATGTACCCAGTGGGAAAACTGGCCATCAAAACCCATTAGTGCCCAGGCACAGCAAGAGGTCACACTCACTTACTTCAGAGGTTCCTAACCTGCTTGCACAGATGCCCGCCTTGTAGTTAATACATTAATATAGAAGCACATATATTACTATAGCACAAATTTATTTTTAATATTTTTATTATATATTGATATATAGTTAGTTTCCTTTCTAATCCAATCTAATTTTATTCTATCATATAATAACCTGCAGTCTGTTACAATAGGGAGCACTATGTCTCAAGAGATTGGGAATAAATTTATCCACAGGCTTTCGCAAACCGCCACAGGGATCCTTGGCACAGGAATCAGGAGACTGAGAACTGATTTACCTGGCAAATGAGGCAGGGTTCTTTCAGGTGGGAGTGACAAACCCAACTCTAACTGGTTTAAACTCAGTGGGGTGCCTTGTGTCTTGTAGTTGGGAAGCCCATGGATATCGGGCTCTGTGTGTGGCTGGAGCATGGGGCCTCCACAAAGCCTCTAGGGTCTCTATGTCCCTGGGCTCTGTTCCTTGCTGCTTAACCTCATTCCACCGGCATCTTTCTCTCTGAGCAGGTGTGATGGCTACCACCCCTCAGAGGCGCACCTTCCAGCGGAGCTGAAAGAGGCACCTCTCTCTCCCCCAGAGCTATATTTCACCCCAGGGAAGGGCTGTCTCCACAGGAATGTAGTGTCTGGATCCGTCCAGCCTGGGTCCCATCCTACTCCTGGATCTTGGAGAGAGGAGTAGAGACCCTCCAGGATGAACAGCTCCCGATGACCAAACAAAAAGTGTTTCAGTGTTGGGGTCCCCAAAAAAGGAGAGTTCTCATCCTCAGAACTTCGGTGGCCCCTGGGGACCCTGTGCTCTAGGTCTCACTGTGTGGTGGGAGACCTAACACAGAGCCCAGAAACAACCAGGATACAGTGTGAATGAGATGTCAGGAGGTGACCGTGGGCCCTAAGGCCCGCTGCACACAGTCGGTGCTGGAGACACCAGGAAGGCGACACTGACGTGGCTGGCCAGCTCTGGGGCCCCCACACCGGGCGCTGAGCAGGGCCCTGACAACGTGGCCTCACTGGGCCCTCTGCACAGCATGTGGCGGGGGCGGCGGTGACGACCTCCACTGGGCAGGCAAGCGACTTGCATCCGGCCCCACAGCCGGGAGTGGGGTTCAGACTCCAGTGCATTTCACAACAGAGCCCTGCTTCCTTTTAAGCATGAAAGAGTCATGTTTGTATCTGTGTGTTCATGTGAGCATGAGTGTACACATGTGTGACTGTGTGTGTGTACGTGTTTTGTGTGTGCCTGTATGTGCATGTTTGCGTATATGTGTGTGAAGGGGTGCCAGTGGCAAGTGAGGAAGGACTCCCAGGTGAGATGGGACTTTTAGTTCATTTCAACACCCGCCATGGGAGGGAGTCTCTGCTCAGCCCAGCCAACACACTCACAATTCCCTTCTTCCCACTCCCCAGCCCCCAGCCCCCAACCCCCAACCCCCAACCTGCAGGGAGGACCCAAAGCACTTTCTCTCTAACCAGAGTCTTCTGTCTTCCCTCTTGCAGGTTCAGTCTCCAAGGAGAGCAGTAAGTATCTCCCCAGCACCCCCTTTGCCATAGAGCGAGATGACTCAAGGTCTCTAGTCCCAGCCCTGGAAGTCCCAGCCCTGGAAGTCCCAGAAAAATCTCCTTTTCCAGAATCTGTCTGGCTCTCTTCTCCCATAGCCCAATATGCCTTCTGAAGCCCCCAAGCCCTGGGGCAGGGATGGCCCCTTCTCAGCCATTCACACTGATAGGAATGGCGCAGCTGTCCGCCTTCCCCAGCCCCCCCCCACCCTGCAGCCTGGACTGTGGTCCCCTCTCTGACTCCCCCGACCTGGTTGGGAGCCCTGAAGATGGAGGCTGTGCTTATTATCGGCATTGAAATGATGCCAAGCTTGGCTTGTGGTTTCTGCCTGCCTCAAAGTACCACACCAGTGCCATACCAGGCACTACAGAAGCCCCCACAGGCAAACCGGAGGAGGTGCTGATTGCCTGTGGGGGTTGAAGTACCAATTGTGCCAAGAGAGATGGGGCAAAGTGTTCTAGGCTCCAGGAGGGCCACCCCTGCCAATGGGAAGGGGTCAGGAAGGCATCAGGGAGGAGGTGACTCCTCGGCTGTGCCCTGCAGAGTCAGGGATGTGAGGAATGGAGAGTAGGGAGGGCACTACAAAGGCAGAACTGCTGACACCTCAAACGCTGGACACTGCAGACATCTGAACAACAAGGGCCCCAGCTCCCCAGGTGCAGGGGAGATGGAAGGGAGAGACAGCTATGATAATAACAATGGTAACAAGGATTGAGTGTCCAATGGGTGCCGGACGATGTATTCAGAACTTTACAGACAACTCATGAAATCCTCACCACAGTCCTATGTAGGTGCTGTAATTATCCCCATTTCATAGATGAGGAAACTGAGGCTCAGAGAGGTGAACTCTCTTGCCCAAGACAATGGAGCTATAAGTGGTGAAATGGGAGTCAATCTCCCCATCTAGTCCAAAGCCCACCCTCTCGACACCTCCTTACAAGGGGCAACACCACCAGGTCCCCCCACCCACCCCAGCGTGGCAGTGACTGAGGAGGAGTGCGGCTCCAGCAATGGGATTTACCTGCCTCAGAGGCCTGGGAGGCCCAGTGCACTGCGGGATTACAAAGAGCAAAGACCGTAAGACTGAACACAAGCCATACAGCCTACACCCCAGCTCCACCTCCCCAAAGCCTTCTCAGTCACCTCCTGAAGTACACACAGAGTCACCGCATCTTGGTGCTGAGCACTCAGATGTCACCTGCTGGGAAGACGGGGAATGCAGGCACAGCCACGGCCTCCCACCTTGCCCGCTCCCGCGGCAGACATTGCCAGTCAATCCCCGCACGCTTTCCCTCCAAACCCACAGGATGTAATAGCAGATCCATTGCTGTTGAGAGGAAACCTATTTGACAATTCTGGCCTAAACCACCTTCCTCATTTTACATTTGGCAAAGGTAAAGGGAGAGATTTCTGGCAAGTCACACAGCAGATTTCTGAAGAGCAGCTCAAGCTTCCTGATGCACCCCCTCCAGAGCTGTATCATGTCCTGAGCATGAAAGAGCAGGAAGGCATCAGGGAGGAGGTGACTCCTCGGCTGTGCCCTGCAGAGTCAGGGAGCACTAGGGACTCCCACAGAGGTTAGGCAGCTGGCGGGGCGGCCACTAAGCCCAGACCCAGAGAGCAAATTCCCTGCCTCCCAGTCTTGGGACCCCTGGGCATCATCCCCTTCATCCTCCAGCTTGACTGTGAAGACTGGATGGTCAGAAAATCAATTCTGGAAAAGCCTGCTTAAGCCAATATGTTGACATCGGGTTTACCAGACTTAACCGCAGTTGATCAGGCTCTGGGGAAACTCTCAGGTGGTTCCTGAGGCCTGGAACGACGCCTCCAGCCTCGGTGAGACCCTCTGGTCTCGAGAGTAAACTGGCCTCTCCATGACGGGGCAGGCGGTCAGAGGTGGGGCTGCAAGGCTCATAAAAAGACCCCCTCCCAGGCCTCACTCTCAGACGCCCCGGTGGCAGGGGCTGGGCCCTTCTGTGGAGTGTCCTGTCCCCGTCTCCAGCCCTCTCTCTTCTGAGCCAGAAGCCTGGACACCCACTCTCTCCTGAACGGCCCCTCAGGGGTGTCTCCACTCCCAGCCCTCATTCTCTGGCGGTCATGTCCCGGCTGAGCCCTGGTTACGGCCATCAGATGAATGTGCTGAACCTGAGGGTAAGGGGCAAACAGCCTAGGACAGGCATTCCCCTCAGATCACCAGGTCTGCAAACTCAGCCATGGGGGCCAAAGCCCAGCAGGGTGCCCTGGGGTGGACTGCACTGACTCCTAGGAAGGGGCACCTTTCCCTACTCAGAGGTGCCATGGTCTTGCCAAGCCTTGCACCAAATGGGCTGTGTCCTCCCAGAGGGGCATTTTTTCCTGACTCACATAGAGGCTTTCTATAAACTGGTGAAGGCACCGGAGCTGCTCCTCATGCCGACGGCATCGTCCCCCGCCGGCCTCCGACCCACCCCGCCCAAATGCTCTGTGTGGCCATTCAGCGAACATTTACCGAGTGCCTACTCTGTGCCAGGGACAGGAGTATTGGAACGATTTCACAAGACAATAAATAGAAAGCACTTGCCCCCGTGCCTAACACACAGCAAGCCCTGGGCGTGGGCCAGCTTCACTGAGGAAGCCTGAGGGCTCGCTCCCAGCACACACTGGCCCAGCTCAGCCAGACGCCCGGCGCAGGGGTCGGACGGGAGAGAGGCTGCCCAGCCATTGCTTTCCCTTTGTAGGTGAATGTTCTCTAATTCCATGTTTACCAGTCCTCCCTAATGTTACCTTCACAACTGTCAGGTGGTGGTAAAAACACCCATCAGTATAAATAAGCACCTGCCCGGCTAAGGGCACAAGCTGACATCCCAGCTGGCGAAGAGCCTGCTGAGGGCTGGGTGGCTCAGCAGCTGTGTTTGGGAATCCCACCTACACATCCCGCCTTTCATGGGCCTCCTGGGTTGGCCTGTGAGGACCACGTGGAGAGGACGCAGGTCTTAACAGAAGAGCCACGTAGCGAGCCCTCAGTGAGTTCCAAGGACCATGCTAAGCACTGAGTGGGAGGTTCCCTGTTGTCACTCAGTGTCCAGTGCACAGTCGGTGCTCGAGAAATAATGACTAGAAGATGATAAGAAGACTATTTGAGTAACCTGTGCTCTTTATTCCTCACAAGAGCCCAGTGGGAAAACCACCCATTCTCTCATTTCACAGACAAGGAGGTTGAGGTACAAGGAGGTTGAAGACTTGCCCAAGGGAACCCACTAGTGATAGACGCTCCTACCCACCATGTGAGGGCCCCCAGGAGGTTGCCAACACGGGCCTCTCTGGAGGAGAGGGAGCTCAAAAGGCTGCTGTGGCCCCAGAGAAGTGTTCTCAGGAGAGTCTATTCATCACCGTGACTGTTGTTACCACCACTCGTTACTCCACATGCACTTACCAGGGGCTTGGGTTGAGTCGGGCACTGGGCTGGGGCTGCAACAGGAAGCCCAGAAAGGAATTCTGGGGTGGTCTGACGTACAGCTGCTGCCACCAAGGCCGGTCTGTTCTCTCCCCAGGGGTCGTGAAGACCAAGTGTGACCTCAGCAAGCCCTGCCCAAACAACTTCTTTGCATTTAAAATCCTCAGCGGGGCCGCCAATGTCGTGGGCCCCTCCATATGCTTCGAAGACCGCATGTAAGTACCTGAGGGACTCCTGTTTTGTTTCTTTTGTTTCAACCATTCATTCACTCATTCATTCATTCACTAATTCAGAAGCTTCCAGGAGCAGGCACTGAAGCCAGCCCAGCCTATCCACATGCTTCCTTTTACCCTGGGTGGTTGAGTCACAAGTAACAATGACCCTAACACCATCCATGTCTGCCAGCACTTGGCTAAGTGCTTAGAGCATCATCTTACTCAATCCCCCAACACTTCCAGAGTGTGGCTATAATTATTCCCTTTGTAAAGATGAGGAAATTGAGGCTCACGCAGGGTCATCCAGATAACTGGTGGTGGAGCTAGGAATCGAACTGAAGTCTGTATAGCAGCCAAGCTGCTGGGCTTCCAATGAAGACAGGCGCCTATGGGGAGGGTTCAAGATCAATATCCAGGCACCAAAGTCTGAACCTGGGAGGTGCCAGGACTTTGCAGATGCAGGAAAAAGACCAAGGTGGTAAAGGTCATGGTATAGCAAGTTCATCCTATGGAAGCAGCCAGAGATGGGGTTTTAGTCAGGATTCTGAATCTAACTCCACCTCGTTTGGGCAAAGCAAAGAACTTAGTGGTTCATGCACCTAAAAGACCAGAGGCCATGGGCTTCAGGACCAGCTGCATCCAGGGGTTCAAGCCATGCCCTCAGGGCTCCCTCTCACACCATGCTCGCTCTACTTTCCTTTGTCATTAGATTGTTGTTGTTACTGAAAGTAGGCTTCACCTTGTAGAAAGTGGGGAGGTCACAGCTGGCTGACACATTAGCCCAAGCTAGCACCTCACGGGAAAGAGAGCCTTCCCATCTGAACTGTCCCTGTGAAAGTCCCCAGGCTGGGTCTCATTGGCTGGTCTGAGTCACATGGCTGTGCCTGGCCCAATTACTCTGGCCAGAGCACAAGGCTGGGGGAGAGGTCAGTCCTGAGAACCACATGGCCTGAGATGGAGAAGGACAGTTTTCCCAAGGAACACCGGGAGACAGAGTGAGGATGCTGGCTGGGCAGGGACGCAGTCAGGCTCCACGTGGGGAAGCACAGACACCACCAAGGATAGCAGCAACATTCTGGGTTCTGCCTTCCTTAAAGCCTGGGGAAGTGCGCTGGCCCAGCCTCCACCACCTCAGAGCCCCAGGCAGGGACCTCTCCTCTTCTCTGAGCAGACTGTTCTGGTCCAAACAAGCCATGAGTGACTCCTCGGAGAATCCAGCCCACCGTTCATTTCCAGGAGAAAACAGATGGCCCAAATTACTGTGTGTGCCTCCTGATGCTTTTGCATCATGCCATGTGGGCCCTCTCCACATTCCAGAGTCATGGAAGCAGAGGGTTCATTCTACACTCGGGACTGACTGTTGTATTTTGTTTTTCTTTTCTTCTTCAGGATCATGAGCCCTGTGAAAGACAACGTGGGCAGGGGCCTGAACATCGCCCTGGTGAATGGTGAGTTGCTGATCCACCCCCAAGACAGCCCCTACGGCGGTGGTATGCATTTATTCCACTGACATTGGCTTAGCTCCTCCCAAGTGCATGAGTCAGCAGAAATGTCAGAAGGGGAGGTCTGGCTGGCCTGTGGGAAGAGAAGGTGCCAAGGACCAGGTCACACCACAGTCCTGGCCAGGCCCGTGCCTGTGTGCCTGTCCCAGAAGGACATGCTTCTCCTTGAGGTTTAAACCAACACTCATGAAACCACAAGGGACAATACTAGATCACCAAGCTGACTGCACATCTTCATTTGTTTATTCAACCAATTTTGACAACAGCTATGGTGGGCTCCAGCAGCTCTTGTCTGACCCAGCTGCAACCTACTGGTTTTCTCTTCCCCGAAGTGTACGGCTGCCTGAGAAGGCCTCTGGGATAGTCTCTGAAGAGATGGGCTCAGACTGGGGCCTCCTTCCTCAGCCCTCACAAAGCCCAAAGACAAAACAACAATCAACAATACTAAAACCTACCATTTCTTGAGCATTTACTATGAGCTACCTATTTCATTTAACCTCATCATCATGTTAGAATGGACCATGCTCAGTAGTCCCATGTCCCAGGTAAGCAATGACACTCAGAGAGGTTAGGCAGTTTGCCCAAGGTTGCACAGCCAAGAGTCACACAAATTTTAACCCGGATCTGGCTGGCTCCAAGTCCTAACCACCCCACTGAACTACCTCCCTAGACTACCAATGTCTCCAAAGATGTATGCAGCACCTACTGTATGCCAGCTGTGGGGAAGTCAGAGGAATCACTCCAACAAAAGGATTGTTAAAGATTGGTGGCTTTTAACCTTTTAGAGGGCTGAGATCTCTTTGAGAAACTGCTCAAGCTACATCTCCTTCCCCTAATTCCGGAAAAATCCACAAATACACATGATCTCGGTTCAACAGGTTCATATTCCCCCTTCTAAAATCGCCAGCTGAAATGTCCCAGCGGTTTGAATATTAGTGACTGGAAGAATCCCGGAAGGGCTGCAATGGGAGCTCCCAACCCCATCCCCCACGCTCTTCAGGAACCCTCAAACTACAGGAGGGAGAGGGACCGGCGGTCCGATGTTGAGTTGCCATCCCCTCTGCAACACCTCCATCTCGTGGCATAAAGTGAGAAGTGCAATTTCCCTTCAGAACCACCTGGTTCCCTGTAGGTCCACTGCAAAACCCACATTTTTTACCATTTTTACCATTTGCAAAACCCACAAAACGCCATTGAGATTACTGAACCCAAGGCGCTGAGGACGGTTCAACCCGCTGAAAATCTCTTTCCTTTCAAGAATCAGAGGACTCAAATTTAAGATTTCCTATTTGAGTGGGAATAATGTTGACAATTGTAGTTATTTTCAGTACTGTTTTGCCAGTAAATTGTGTCTTGTATGCTAACTATCTACTTTAAATACACCCACAGCCCATCATTCAGAAGCAAAAATTGAGGTCAAAATGCTGAGTCATGCATTAGGAAGTGCTAAGGTGGAACACAGACCCAGATTGTTCAATTCAATTTGATTCCAGAGACCCTCATCCACTGTGTTCTTGTATGTCTCAGAGCAGCCCAATAGTTATTGGGCACCTACTTAGTCCTGCATGCTTTCTACAGGGCCTGATTTTATTCCATTATTATTCTATTTCTAAACCTTAGACTAAAGAGTACTCATTTTCTACAAAATGACAGGCAGAATGACACGTTAAAGCAAATAATCATTCTACTTTCTCATCCTTTAGGGTCCACGGGAATGGTGCTGAGACAGAGCTATTTCGACATGTATTCTGGAGGTAGGTACCTCTGTTGGCCATGAGGTCATGTGCGGGCTGAGCTTCTTGTAGCACAGGAGCTATCGAGGTGCCAGAGGACTTGGCTCCTGTTTCCACAAAATAGTACCAGAAAGAGGCATGGTGGGGGTTCACGCCATCCTGCTGCCTTTGATACCCCTTTGTACTGGCTATTGGACCTCCCAGATGCAGATGCTGACACAAGGATTCAAGTGCAATGTTTTATTTGGGAGGAGGTGATCTCAGGAAATATCAGTGGAAAGGTGAGACAGGGAAAGGAAAGCAGCCAGTACAGTGTGTTATCAAGTGACTGAACACTGTAGGCAATTGGAACTCAGGAGCCAGCATTGAACACATGCCTCAGTGGTATCCCGGAGGGGCAAGGGCGCTGGGGGCTCCCACCCCTAATTCTGTGGCACTCCCCACACTTGGCCTGCCCCAGGGGGCAAAAGTGAATATGGAGGCCAAAGGAGATCTTCAGGCAAAGAAATGCTGGTGCTGGCAGTTGGAGGCCAGGCATGTGTGCAACCGAAGTGCTAAGGACGAGGTAAATGGCTCAGTATGCTCCGCTAGATAAAGGATATTTTCAGGCCACAGGGGTCTTTTGTGGGCCAAAGGACAGGACAAGGCCTCCAAAGGCCCAGAAAGGACAGCCGTGGGGCTCAAAGCTTTCTGCCTTTCTGCAGCTGCCTTTTCTTCTTTCTAGCACAGACATGCTTTCTGATCTTCCCTGTGTACAGATTACCCCTCAGGAAGTCACGGTCTTCCCTGCCCTGAGCAAAGCCAGCCAACAGGACACTGACCTACCTGGGCTGGAGGCCAGGACATCTAAGTTCCCACCAGCAGCTGAGGGTGGGGCACGACTCTGTCCCAACACTGACATCTTCCAAAATGTGGTAGAATTAGTCCTGGACCTCGGCAAGGAATGAAAAGCATCAGGGTGGCTCTTTCTAGCCAGTCTAAGGTCTGGGCTCTGCAAGGACTGGTTTCCATGGAGACAAATGAATTCAGCTCAGCCCACTTCTTGGAGCCCAGCCTGACTCAGTTTCCCTCCCTGCAATCACAGGGCCAGCTCTGGGCCCGGGGGCCCTAGGGTGCCGGGCATGTGACAACTCACCCCAGCTCCTCATGGAGTGGAAGGGGCTCTGCTGCTGCCAATTAGCTCACTTCCTTCTCCCCTGAATCCCCATCTTCACCTCCACCTGCAGGGAAAACCTACCTCACTGCACCCACCCAAACCCATGAGCCCAAGAGGGGAGAAAGCCACCAGGCAGCAGAGAGCAGGAAGTCTCTGGGGCATGAGAACAGGAGAGGGGCTGAAACGGGGAATGGGAGCCTGCCGCCCGGAAGTCACAGCAGGGGCCTGTTTGGAAGGAGATCCACAGCAGCACCCTTACAGACGGGCAGCGGGGACCCTGCCTGGGCCCAGGGCTTCAGAGCGTGCCACAGCGGCCACCTGCAGCCGCAGCCCACCTGGATCCTGCCCTAGGGCCCATGCGGATGTCTCCAGGTGTGCCCCCGAAGTGCAGGCACACCCCCGGGGCCAAGGTGGCTGTGGCTGAATCAAGGTGGCCAAGGAGGGTGGCGTGGATGGAGCTGACATGGGAAGACTGGGGGTCCACGTGCAGGCATGCAAGTCCCCTTCTGGGGCAAGATGGAGCTGGAGACAGGCATGAGAAGAGACAGGGGCAGGCCATGGGCTGAGGCCAGAGGTCTTCATCTGTTCTCTCTGTAGGACCCCGGAGATGTTCTGGGTGGCCTGGGGCCAGGTTTACGGAAAAGGTCCAGTCTCTGGAGTCAGAGACTTCAGGCTGCATGACCTGAGGCAGGTGACACCTCTCGAACCTCAGTTTCATCACCTATAAAATAGAAGTAACTGTAGTGTCCACTTCATAAGATTGATGTGAGGACTAAGTAACTTGTCATAACTGGTGTACAGGATCGGCCTGGCTGGTGGAGGGGCCTGGGGAAGCTCATTCAGTCTTCTCCCTTGCACTCCCTCCTCCCTCACTCTGTCCACTTGATTCAGAAGCAAGGAGGTCATCTGTCAGAATGAAAAAGGAGAACACAATTTAAAAGATGAAACTAAGTTTTATAATGTCTTATTATGAACGTGGAGGTAACCATGGCTGTTGGGGAACTAGAAACTGAATCACACTGAGAACAAGTCGGCCCTTCCCACGGGAGACAAAGAGGACAGGCAGTGACTTCTTAAGGTTGAGAGCAGGAGGCACACTTCCTTTTCTCCAAACATCCACTGTCCACCCCAGAGAAGAGCCAGATCTCGATATTGGCTAAAGAAGGCATGGTGCTTTCCGAATTCATTCTCTTTTACCTCAGGAGTTCAAAGGCCATTTCACTAACAGGGCTGCTGTGGTCGTTGATGGGAGCCTCTGTGACTGATCTGGTTGGTGGCTGGCCCTGCTCGGCCCTTAGGCCCCCGACACCCCACAGAGTACGAAGGATCAGGGGGCTTCGTGGTGAGTGGCCTGTGGGCAGGCAGCCACAGAGGCCCAGAGCTTAGAGGCAACTTATGCTTGGTTGGATGTTCTGCCATCACAGTCTTGAAATTCTTAATAATATTTTTAACAAAAGTCCCCACATTCTCATTTTGCTCTGGACCCTGAAAACTATGTAGCCCATCCTATTAATAATTGTTTCATTGAGGATATTATACTCAATGAAATAATTCCACTATAGCGTACTGACTATATGCCCAGAGTCACTGTCACATTTGATCTTTACAAAAATGCTATAAACAAGACTATTAATCCTCCTCATTTGGCAGATGCAGCCCCTGCTTTACTCACTAGGTCAGTGTTGCCCACAAGCCACTGTTCAAGAGCCCCCTGCACAAGTTACACCATATCCAGAGAACCATCATGTTATTAGTATTTTCCTTTAAATCGGCTCATTTTTTAACGTAAACAAGTATATCTTAAAAGGAAATTATATCCTCACTCCAAGTAGAAAGCCATCGTTGCTTTTTTGGTCATAAACATAAGTACAATAGCAACAAATCAGTGCCCTTGAAGGGAGGAGCTGGTGCCCCTCCCCCTCGCACCTAGGCCTGCCCTCTGTCAGGTGCAGACCTTTCACAGGGCAGGATGGAGTTAGAGGTGCAAACGGAGCCTTGCTCCTGATGTAAGCTGGAGAGAGGAAGGAGCCTAGGCTTCTCTCTCAGGGACCCCACTGCCTGCAGCCCAGTGGGCATGGCCTCCGAAGGAATCCAAAAAGACACAGGCACCCTTATGTTCATTGCAGCATTATTTACAGCAGCCATGATATAGAAGCAACGTAGGTGTCCATCACTAGATGAACAGATAAAGATTACACACATACACACACATATACAGTGGAATATTACTCAGCCATAAAAAAGAATAAAATCTTACTATCTGTGACAACATGGATGGACCTAGAGGATATTATACTCAATGAAATAAGTCAGACAGAGAAAAACAAATACAATATGATTTCACTTACATCTGTAATCTGAAAACACAAAACAAATAAACAAAACAAAACAGAAACAGACTCACGGACACAGAGAACAAACTGACGGCTGCCAGAGGGTGGGGGGCAGGAGGATGGGTGAAGAAGGTGCAGGGGAATAAGAGGTACAAACATCCAGTTATGATATAAATAAGTCACAGGAATGTAATGTGCAGCAAAGGGAGTGTAGTCAATAATATGATAATAATTTTGTACTGTGACAGACGGTCACTAGACTTCTCACGGTGATCACTTTGTAAGGTATATAAATGTCAAATCACTATGTTGTACATGTGAGACTAACATAATATTATATGTTAACTATACTTTAATTTAAAAAATAAATAAGTCAGTACAGACAAGCTAGGCTCTTAACCAGTATAGAAGGAGGTAGCTGGGGGTGCGCAAAGAGCCCAGGGCTCCTGAGAGATGACTAAGCTCTGTCCCCCAGGTGAAAGCCCCTAATGGCCCTTAGACCAGTAGTTCTCACCCTGGCTGCATATCAGAATCCCCTTAGGAACCTTCAAATTCCAGCACCACCCCAGACCACCTGAGTGAGGACACCCTCACCCCTCAAGGCGGGAGCTATACCCCGCCATGCCGCCTCCTGCCGGGCCATGAGCGGCAGGTGGAGCTTGGTGCCAGCCTCCCCCGGCCACCGCTGGACCACGAGGGCAGCAGGAGAGAATGAGAATGGCCATCAGTCTCTCCCCTAAGTGACCAACACCTTGCTTTCCTTCCTTCCCCAGATCCTATGCTCCTGGTGAAATTCCTTAAAGAAATTACAGAGGACATGCTGGTGCTAGTGGCCTCCTACGATGACCCAGGGACCAAGTAAGTGGGAACCTCCGCCTACCAGGCCAGGGGGAGAAGGGAACCAAATGCTTCCAAACCCACCTTCCCTTTGTAGCTCCCCACTAGCCCCATCTTCTGGAAACTCCTCCAAAGAAAATAATCAGACAAGCGCTTAAAGAGATGTTCTAGGATGTCCAAACTTTTGGCATCTCTGGGCCACACTGGAAGAAGAGTTGTCTTGGGCCACACATTAAATACGTTGCAACACGTAATCACTAAAAAAAAAAAAAAAAAAAAGCCCTCATACTGTTTAGTAAAGTTACGATCTTGTGTTGGGCCACATTCACAGCCACCCTGAGCCACATGCGGCCCACAGCCCCTGTTAGGTTCATTACAAGCCTTGGTTACAACAGTGAAAACTGGACCCACTCTCCCTGTCCAATATAACTGACTAGTTACAGAAATCATGACAGGTGGTGATACAGGACATATTTTTATATATACCTAAGAAGATATACTGCATCAAAAGTAGTGATGTAGAAAATATTTAAAGACATGGAAGAACACTCATCCTTTAGTATTTTGTTTTTCAGCGTAATTGAGGAGAGTTTTTGAAAAGACTATTTACAAAAGTGTGGGCAGGTTTAAGGGATGGAGCTAGGAATCTTAAGAACCATCCCACCCTTAGGCCCGAAGGAGCCAGGTGGCAGAGCCATTACCTAAACTAGCCCCAAGCAGGTGGTTGTAGCTGCCCTGGGTGGAGGGGCAACAGCAGTGTATAGAAATGTGGCCAAGAAGGGGTCAGGGGAATACAACCCTCACTCTACTTCTCCTGCTTCCTACTCTCTTATGGGCACCTCCCACTGGCCAAACCAAAGGACAAGCCAGAGGACAAAGCAGCTTGTTGATATAGCCCATGGGCAAAAAAGAGGATGGGAAGGGGTAGAAAATGCACCTAGAGGGTAAACAGAACATAGCCAGCAAGCACACACTCTATTTGGAATTTCTAGTTTCTTACCCAGCGACTCACCCTAGGACAGAAACAAGGGAAATGGAGTGGTGGCCTCAACTCTCAGGCGTTGAGCCACCCTGGTAGGTTCCCTGGGTTTGGTATCAATCAGATGACTTCTGATGGACAAGAACAGCTTTCAACTTTGTTTGCCCCCTTATCCTCACCTCAAATGGCTCACTCCAGACACATGTGATATGCAAATTCACACACATTACAGGCTATATCATGTAGCACAATAATAACTGTGCAGACTTGATGTGTATGTGCAGACAGCCCTTTACAAGTTCGGTAATGATAACGGTAAGCGCTGTTCACTTGTGCCATGGCTGTGGTGGGTGGCTGTCCTTGTCACATGATCATTTTCCCACAACATTAAAACATGAGAGCGCATTGTGTACAAGGACTTTTTATCCCCAACCCCCCAAAATGCTGGTTCGTGGAAGAAGGCATTCCGGAAAGAGAAGTGGCTTAATGTGTGTGACTATTTCTTCAGGCAATGAAAATTGAAATTCTGCTGAGTTTTCTGGAGTACTTTTATCTTTGGATGTGCCCAAAAAATTTTTTTTTCTTCAGTCCCTTAAGGTCCCATAAAAGAAATCACTGTCACCTCATAGTTGGTAATCTTTGAGACCATGGTCCACAGCGTTTTTGTGAGGAAGGGATGCTTTTCATGTCCCAAAGCCTTGATTCGTGCCCAGGTGAACAGTGGAGGGATCAGAGAAAGAGCTTTGTGATGATCACGTCCCTGGATTGTTTCTTTTCTCTCCCCGGGTTGAACTTTCTCCTACCAGGAAGTGCCAGTGGCCCCCACACGTGGTTCCCCTCCATTGGGCTGCCAAGACCTGCACTGTTAGGTGAACCTAAATTTGTCAGGTCCATTGTAAAAAAACCTTTTCTTTCATAAACTATTCAGACATAAATCTTGACATTTGGAACTGCTTTGTTACCTGTGTTTCTAGTCATACGGTGATACAATCCAGGATTTATCCAGAAAATTCTTTCTTAGAACTAAATTTATTTTTGCCTTCGCTCCCTTGGGTAGAATAAATGCTTGAATTTTACCCAAGTGTCTTTTTGACGGCTTTTACTATGTCCTCTTAGTGGGTGATTTTACTCCATGTAACAACCCCTCCAGGGAGCTGGTCTTTTGCCAGGTAGTCCTTCTCCTCATCCACATAACCAAAGTACCCAGTGTTCCTCAGGCCTCACCTTAAGCTCTAGGCCAATGGTAATAACTAAGTCTCTGTGTCATGGGGCCTTCTCTCTGAACCTAGGAGATACATATTCTCTCTCTCTCTCTCTCTCTCTCACTACACACACACACACACACACACACACACTACATATTTTTTTAAGACATATAGAAAGGAGTCCTTTACCTGAGGGTTACCATCACAACCCATTGGCAGGTCATGAAATCAATTTATTCGGTTGCAGCTGGAATTTTTTAATAAAGTAGAAAATATCATTATGGAAAGGACAAATGTTATGTAATTACCCTTACATGAAATACCAAGAATAGTCAAACTTATCAAGACAAATAGAATGGTTGTTGCCAGGGAATGAAGAAGTTAGTGTTTAATGGGTGCAGGGTTCCAGTTCGGGAAGATGGAAAACTCCCCCGGAGATGGACAATCGGGGCACCCGCACAGCGGCGTGGAGGTACGGACTGCTGCAGGGCTGCGTAATTCAAATGGTTAAAATAGTCATTTTATGTTATGCATATTTTACCACAATTTTTAAAATATGAGACTTTGTCATGTTTTCAGTAAACCTCCTATCCCCTCCTTCATTTTAATGTGTACTAGGCTACAATAATTTTACTGATTCAAAATATAGTTAAATTATATTGAGATTATATATACCATCTTAGTTTGTGTTTAAGAAACTTAAAGGTTTTGGGGGTTTTTAATTAATTTTTTATTGTTCAAGTACATTTGTCTCCATTTTCCCACCACGACATTCCCCTGCCCAACCCACCCCCACCTCCCACCCTCAATCCTTCTCCACTTTGGCTTAATCCATGGGTCCTTTATACATGTTTCTTGACTTGACCTTTCCTCTTCTTTTTCCCGTTACCCCCCTTCCTTCCTCCCCTCTGCTTACTGTTGGTTTGTATTTTCCTTCAATGTTGCCGGTTATATTTTTCTTGCTTGTTTTGTTGATTAGGTTCCACTTATAAATGAGATCATATGGTATTTGTCTTTCACCCCCAGGCTTATTTCACTTAGCATAATGCTCTCCAGTTCCATCCATGCTGTCACAAAGGGTAGTAGCTCTTTCTTTCTTTCTTCTGAGTAGTATTCTACTATGTAAATGGACCATAGTTTTTTGATCCACTCATCTATAGCGAGGCATTTAGGTTCCTTCCAGTACTTGGCTATTGTAAGTTGTGCTGCTGTGAACATTGGGGTGCATGTGTTCTTTCGAATTGGTATTTTGGGCTTCTCAGGGTATAATCCCAGCAGTGGAATTGCTGGGTTAAAGGCAGTTCCATTTTTAGATTTTTGAGGAAATTCCAAACTGTTTTCCACAGTGGCTGTACCAGTCTGCATTCCCACCAACAGTGTACGAGGGTTCCCTCCCCACAACAACCTCACCAGCACTTGTTGTTTGTTGATTTGTTTCTGGTGGCCATTCTGATGAATGTGAGGTGGTATCTCATTGTGGTTTTAATTTCCATCTCTCTGATGGCTAGTGATGCTGAGCATCCTTTCATATGTCTCTGGGCCCTGTGTATGTCCTCCTGGAGAAGTGTCTGTTCAGGTCCTTTGCCCATTTTTTAACTGGATTGCTTGTCTTCCTGGAGTGGAGTGTATTGAGTTCTTTATATATTTTGGAGACCAAACCCTTGTCCAAGGTATCATTGGCAAATATATTTTCCCATATGGTTGGTTCCCTTTTCATTTTGCTGATGTTTTCTTTAGCCATGCAGAAGCTTTTTATTTTGATGAAGTTCCATTTGTTTATTCTTTCTTTTATGACTGTTGCTCTAGGGAACATATTGGTGAAAATATTGCTGCATGGAATATCTGAGTTTCCTGACTATGTTCTCCTCTAGGACTTGTATGGTGTCATGACTTATATTTAAGTCTTTTATCCATCTTGAGTTTATTTTCATGTATGGTGTAAGTTGGTGGTCAAATTTATTTCTTTTTCTTTTTTTTTTTTTCCACATATAGCTGTCCAGCTCTCCCAGCACCATTTGTTGAAGGGGGTATTTTTACTCCATTTTATGCTTGTGTTGCCTTTGTCAAATATTAATTGACCATAGAGACATGGGTTTATTCCTGGACTCACTATTCTGTTCCATTGATCTATGTGTCTGTTCTTATGCCGGTACCAGGCTGTTTGATTTCAGTGACCTTGTAATATAGTTTGATGTCAGGCATTGTGATCCATCCTACCTTGTTCTTTTTCAAAATTGCTCTATTTGAGGTCATTTATAGTTCCATATAAATTTTTGAAATGTTTGTTCTATATCTGTGAAATACGTCATTGGTATTTTAATAGGGATTGTGTAGAATATATAAATTGCTTTGGGTTGTATGGATATTTTGATGATGTTCATTCTTCCTATCCAGGAACACGGTATATGCTTCCATTTCTTTGTGTCTTCCTTAATTTCTTTCTTCAGTGTTGTGCAGTTTTCTGAGTATAGGTCTTTTACCTCCTTGGTTAGGTTTATTCCTAGGTAATTTATTTTTCTTGTTGCTATAGCAAAGGGGATTTTTTTCCTGATTTCTGCTTCTGATATTTCATTGTTGGTGTACAAAAATGCCTTCAATTTCTGAATATTGACTTTGTCTGTTTTGCCAAATTCACTTATTAGGTTGAGTAGTTTTTTGGTGGTGTCTATGGAGTTTACTATGTACACTATCATGTTATCTGCAAACAAAGAAGGAAGTTTTACTTCCTTCTTTCCAATTTGGATGCCTTTTATTTCTATTTCTTGTCTGATCGCTGTGTCTAGGACTTCTAATACTATGTAGATAGAAGTAGTGAAAGCGGACATCCTTGTCTTGTTCCTGATCTTAGTGGGAAAGATTTTAGTTCTTGCCCATTGAGTATGATGTTGGCTCTAGGTTTTTCATATATGGTCTTTATTACGTTGAGGAATGCCCCCTTTATTCCCACTTTGCTGAGTGTTTTTATCATAACAGGGTGCTGTCCCTTATCAAATGCTTTTTCTGCATCTATTGATATGATCATGTGGTTTTTGTCTTTCCTTGTGTTTATGTGATGTATTACGTTTATTGCTTTGCAAATATTGAACCATCCTTGCATCCCTAAGATGAGTCCCACTGGATCATGGTGGATGATTTTTTCATGTATTGCTGGATGTAGTTTGCCAATATTTTGTTGAGGATTTTAGCGTCTATGTTCATCAGCAATATTACCCAGTAGTTATCTTTCTTTGTTGTGTTTTTATCTGGTTTTGGCATTAGGATGATGCTGGCCTCATGAAAAGAGTTTGGGAGTCTTCCCTCTTCTTGGATTTTTTTGGAATAGAGAAGGACAGGGGTTAGCTCTTCCTTAAATGTTTTGTAAAATTCTCTTCTGAAACTGCCCAATCCAGGACTTTTGTGTGCTGGGAGTCTTTTGATAACTGCTTCAATTTCACCATCTGTTATTAGTTTGTTTCGGCTTTCTGCTTCATCTCATTCAGTGTTGGAAGATTATATTTCTCTAAAAATTTGTCCATTTCACCCAGGTTTTCAAATTTCTTGGCATGTAATTTTCCATAGTAATTTCTTACAACCATTTTATTTCTGTGGTATCAGTTGTAACTTCTCCTTTCTCATTTCTGATATTATTTATTTGAGTCCTCTCCCTTTTTTTCTTGATGAGTTTGCTTAAGGCTTGTCTATTTTGTTTATCTTTTCAAAGAACAAGCTCCTGGATTTGTTGATCCTTTGAATTGTTCTTTTAGTCTCCATGTTATTCAATTCTGCTCTGATCTTGATTATTTCCTTCCTTCTACTCGCTCTGGGCTTTGTTTCCTGTTGTTTCTCCAGTTCTTGTAGGTGTAGGGTTAGGTTGTTTATTTGAAACGTAACTGTCTTTTTTAGGTAAGCCTGTATTGCTATGAACTTCCCTCTAGGACTGCCTTTGTTGTGTCCCATAGGTCTTGGATTGTTGTGTGTTCATTTTCATTTGTTTCTGGAAACTTTTTGATATCTTCTAGGATCTAATTATTGACCCATTCATTGCTTAATAGCATGTTATTCAGTCTCCAGAGTTTGAATGATTTGAGTTTTTTCCTTGAGATGGGTTTCTAGTTTCAAGCCCTTGTTGTCTGAGAAAATGCTTGTTATGATTTCAATTTTCTTGAATTTTTCTTGTTGAGGCTTGGTTTGTGTCCTATCATGAGCTCTATCTTTGAAAATTTTCCATGTGCATTTGAAAAGAATGTATTTTGCTTCTTTGGGATGAAAGTTTCTCTCTCTCTCTCTCTCTCTCTCTCTCTATATATATATATATATATACCAGTTAAGTCCATTTGATTTAATGTTTCATTCAGTTTCACAATATCCTTTTTGATATTTTGTTTGGAGGACCTATCCATTGTTGACAGTGGGGTGTTAAAATCCCCTACTACCAGTGTGTTGCTGTCTATATCTTTTCTTGAAGTCCTCCAAGATTTTCCTTATATGTTTGGGTGCTCCTATGTTGGGTGCATATTGGTTTACAATGTTTATGTCTTCTTGATGGATTCTTCCTTTGAGTATTATGAAGTGTCCTTCTGTGTCTCTTTGTATGGCCTTGTGTCTCTTTGTATGGCTTTTATTTTGAAATCTATTTTGTCTGATATAAATATTGCTACCTTGGCTTTTTTTCCTGTCCATTTGCTTGGAATACTTTTTTTCCATCCCTTTACTTTCAGCCTGTATAGGTCCTTTGTTCTTAGGTGGGTCTCTTGTAGACAGCATATGTGTGGGTCATGTTTTCTTATCCATTCAGGTACCCTATTTGTCTTGATTGGAGCATTTAATCCATTTACATTAAAGTTATTATCGATGGGTACTTATTCATTTTTTCCCTTTGTACCCGTATTCCCCTCTTTCTCTCTCTCTCTTACTCTTTTTCTTCATCTTCTTAAAGCAGTCTCTTTAGCATAGCTTGCAATGCTGGTTTGGTGGAGGTGTATTCTTTTAGCCTTCTTTTGTTGGGGAAACTCCTTATTTCATCTTCCATTTTAATTGAGAGCCTTGCTGGGTAGAGTAGCCTTGGTTGCAGGCCTTTGCTTTTCATTATTTGGAATATTTCTTGCCATTCCCTTCAGGCTTGTAGTGTTTCTGTTGAGAAGGCCTTATCAAGGCTCCCCTCTATGTTACTACCTCTTTCTCCCTTGCTGCCTTTAAGGTTCTCCCTTTGTCTTTGATATTTTCCATTTTAATGATGTTGTGTCTTGGAGTGGGCCTCATTGAGTTCCTCTTGAATGGGACACTCTGTGCTTCTTGGTCTTGTGTGACTTTTTCTCTCCTCCATTAGGGAAGTTTTCTATCATGACTTTTTCAAACAGGTTCTCTATCCCTTGCTCCTCTTCTCCTTCTGGTATCCCTATTGTATGGATATTATTACATTTCATGTTGTCCTGCATTTCTTTTATCACCTATTCGTTCTTTTTGCATCATTTTTCATTTTCTTGCTCTTTCTGGGAACTTTTTTCTACCTTGTTCTCCAGCTCACTAATTTGATCCTCTGCTTTATCTCATCTGCTTTTGAATCCTTCTACTGTGTTCTTCAATTCAGAAATTGTATTCTTCATTTCCTCTTGCCTCCTGTTTCTATGTCCTTTTTCATGCTGATGTAGTTTGCAGTAAGTTTCTCATAGTTTCCCTGTAGTTTTTGGTAATTCTCCTTGAGCTCAATGAGCTCATTAAGCTTCCTTATAACCAATTTTTTGAACTCAATATCTGATATTGACTTACTTCTATTTCATTTAGTACTTACTTCTATTTCATTTAGTACTCTTTCTGGGGATTTCTCCTTTCCTTTATATTGTGAGTTGTTTCTTTGTCTTCCCATTATTTGTGAGACTCTTCTTTTTTGCTTCTGCTCCTTAAGTTGATATGTCTTGTGTTCCTGACTTTGTGGTGTGAATTCCTATGGTAAGAGACCTGTGAGATTCAGTGGTACAGTCTCCTTGATCTCCTGAACCTGATGCTCTTTGGATGTCTTTTATGCTGTTTATGTTGGCTCTCTGGAAGTAATTGGGTTTTGATTGTTGTTTGGTTGTTCTTTGGTGGGTTCTTCCCTCCAGCTGGTTGACTGAGGGTCACTCTACCCACCACGTCTTGTGTGTTTTTGTGAAGGTGCTGCCAGAAAAAAAACACAAAGCCCAGGAAACAAACCCACATCTGCAAAAACAATTTCCCCATGCAATCCCACTATCAACAGCAAATGAACCAGTATTAACAAGGCTATACAGAGATTAAGACTATTATAATAAAAAAGAGAAATAAACCATTAGCATAAAATCTAATGACTTAATATTCACAAACTTGATGGACCCAAAATGAACGTTAAAAAGCTATGTAGTAAAGAAAATACTGCAAATCATGAAGAAGACCACAGTGGATTTTTGCCTCAGTATCCTCTAGTATTTACCACTGTTTTTTCATTCTGAATCCACCTCTGGTGATGTCAGATGCTGACCCCTTCTGACCTTACGCAGTCTTTTCGAGACTTCCAGGAATCTACTGTTTGTGGTTGTCTCCTTCAGTTCTTAATCTAGTCCCTCTTCACTCAGCAGTCAGGCTTAGGCACCACAGGGCAGGGCAGAATCCCTCCAGCAGGTGGGGCTATTATTTCCCCTCAGACTGCTCAGAGGGGAATGGTCTGCCTGAGCAGGAAGGCTGCTGCCATATGGGGGATGACTCAGCACTGGAATCCCGCCAGCTACTCTCTCAGTTCTCTCCCTTAAGCCTCTGTCTCCAGTCTCTCCTCAAGTGTCTCTAGTCCACTCTGCCCTAACTCTTTGCCAGGGATCTACTATCTGTGGCTGCCACTCTGTACTCAGCAGCCAGGCCTAAGCACCACAGGGCCTGGGCAGAGTCTTTTATTTTTTATTACAATTGCATTCAGTACTATTTCATATTAGTATCAGATGTTTGTCCTACAGTATTAAGTTTAAAAAAAAAAAAAAAAGTAGGTAGCCCCAGTTGGGTGGCTAAGTTGGTTGGAGTGTTGTCTTGTGCACCAAAATGTTATGGGTTCAATTCCTAATCAGAGCACATACCTTGGTTTCATGTTCAATCCCCAGTCAGGGCACATATGGGAGGTAACTAATTGATGTTTCTCTCTCACTTCAGTGGTTCTCTCTCTCTCCCCCACCACTCACCTTCCTCACTCCCTCTCTCCTTTTCCCTCTCTCTAAAGTCAATGAATATATCTTCAGGTGAAGATTTTTTTTTAAGCAGGTTAAGAAAGAGTTGGTATGGTCCCACAACACATGGGAAAAAAGACATGAAGGAAATATATTAAAATTTTACAATAATTATGTCAAGGGGGTGAGACTGTAATTTTTAATTACTTTGTGATGTTTGATATTTTCCAAATGAACATATGTGACATTTGTAAACAGAAGCAAAACTGTCCTAACACCTATCCAGCTCCCCCTGCATTGCCTTTGGAGGGGAGTCCTGGCCCCTCCATTCTGTTCCTCCTGAGGTGATTCCACAAGCTTTGTCGCACACAGTGCTTGGGAAGCTCGCCCTTCTCCCATCCTGCTGCCTGACTGTCCTCTCCTGTCCTCTGCAGAATGAACGATGAAATCAGGGCACTCTTTGCCAACTTGGGCAGCTCCTACGCAAAGCAGCTGGGCTTCCGGGACAGCTGGGTCTTCTTAGGGACAAGAGCCATCAAGAATCACAGCCCCTTTGAGCAGGTGGGTTCCTGGTGGCCTCCCCATCCCAGTGAAGAGAGGGCGCAGTGTCAGGGATGGATGGACAAGGACTGGGGTGGCTTGGGAAGGACACACATGGTAAAGTGTGGGGAGAACCACTTGGCTGTCATCCACCCCAGAGGTCAGGGTGGCCTGACTGGGTAATCCACCAGCAGGAAGAGGCCTTGACAATTTTGAAAGGATATATATAAAGGCATACATTCAAAAGTACCAAAAAGGAGGAGAAGGAGAAAAGAAGGGTACAAGGAAAGTGAGACGTGGAAGAAAGAGACATGAATGTAGAGATGAAGACTGTGTGGTGGGGAGGGGAGCCCAGAACAGGGGTCAGACTACCTGGTTTCTGGCCCCACCTTAGCCAAGCCCCTCCTCCCCCCAGGCCTAGCTCTCCCCATCTGTAAAGGGGAGGGTTTGAACCAAGGGAGCCTGAGGTCCCTTCTGAGTTCCCTGTAGAGAGGGTGAACTTGCTCCAAGAAGGGGATGCAGGAGAGTTCACCTGAGTATGTGGAAGGGGTCAGGAGAGGTCCACAATATGGGGCTCACAGCCACTGCCCAGGGCCACCCGAGGAGGTGGGTCAGGGAGGCACCCAGAAGTGGAGTGTGAGGTGTGCTCACAGGAGGAAGGGGGAGTCAACAAAGGGTTGGGGGCCCCCAAGAAAATGCTTCCTCTTCTCCCCTTGTCCAAGGCAGACCCCATCTGCGCATTCCCAGCTCAGAGCAATTCTGAAACCTGAAAGAACTGGACAACCCTTCCCTGACACGGTGATGAGAAGGTTCAGGTCTGCCTAGACATGCAGGACCACCGAGGGGCACGGACTCTGTCCTGAAGGCTGTGGGGAGCCGTGGGAAGCTTAAGAGGGGTAGTGACAAGAGCAGATTGATAATAAGAAAGCCTGGCATTCAGCAAGTGCTTGCTCTGTGCAGGCACTGGAGCAAGTTCCCAAAGGGCCTTATGTTGACACCCACCATGAAATAAGTACAATTAGGGTCTCATCTCACGAGGGAGGATCCCGAGCCCTGCGCCGGGGGGGCAGTTAACCAGCTCGCTTGGGTCTCAGTGACACGGATGGATTTCTCATCTGGGTCGGCTCCCTCCACAAATGTGTCCAGTCATTACTATTTTTAGAACGGCCTACCTGGCTGAACACGGAGAGCACTGTGGAAGGGGAACCTTCTGAAGGCGGGGAGGAGGGCTACAGTGATCAGCCACCTGACCAGCAGCCTGGAGGGGCAGGGGCTGCGGAGGCAGAGCGGGGCAGAGTCAAGAGGCCGCATGCTTGAACGCCAGGGAGGGGGACCACAGAGGGGCTGCAGGGGTTTTTGCCTTGTCTGGAAAATGTGGGCCTGCTTTGTATGCATGTGTTTCTAAGAGAATGCATTCAGGTAATGAGAAATTACTTTTTAAAAATCAAGAAATAATACAAAGTAGCTTGTGCTGGAGACAAAAAGGAAAGGACCCTCTGGGTGAAGAGCATAGGAGGCCGGGGCCAGGATCTCCAGAAGGTCCCTGTGGGAGGTCCCCACGGGAGGTTGGGGGACAGGCAGGACTTTCTAGGCAGATTCAGGGCAGGCGCTGTTCCTCCTTAAAGCGCAGCTTCCAGACCCATCAGAACTGGACCAAGGTAGCAAAAGGGAAGCACATAAGTAGAAAAAAGTCAGCACCATCCTTTACCTGAGATTTAGGATCAGCTTTCTGGGGCCCATCACCTAAAAATGAACCAAAGACGGTGATGTCATAAAACTATCATGTCGTTTGTTCCCACACAAGGGAAACTGGCTTCTAGAGAAGCAGCATCTGGAATCTCTTCTCTCTTCCCAAGGGTTAGCCACAATGACTCCAACTGCAGATTTTCCATTTACACTTTTCTTTCATAAACCAAGCCTGGGCACTTTAAACACAATCTTAACTGATTTTATTTCCTTTATATGCTATTTATATATTTATTTATTAGTAGTATTAAACAATATTAGACCATGGTTCCACTGTGTATGTACCAGTTGCATGGCCATAAGCAGGCCCCCTTTGCCTCAGTTTCCCCATCTGTGTAATGGGATGATAATAATATGCATTTCTTAGGACTATTGTGAGGATTAAATACATAAGACACCTTGTGCCTGGCACAGAGCAAGCATCCAATGGTTGCTACAATGCTCTTTTAATTGTTATTATTATTTTGGATATTCTAGAGGGCTGGTGTAGAATTTGGCAGAGGGGCTAACCTCTGCAGCCCCACCTCTATCCTTAGTGTCCCCCTCCCCATGGCAGGCAATAACTAGGCTCTGACCCCAACTCTGAAACCTCAGGCAAGTTTCATGCCCTCTGAGCCTCAATCTCCCCATCTGTGAAATTGGCTAGTAACACCCAACACTGTCCCCCAAGGGACAATGGTGAGGATGAAGTGAGTGAAAGCATTTAGGTTTTAAAGCACGAGGCAAGTGCAGGTGTGAGCCCTGAACAGCCTCCCCTACTGTCAGCGTTTCTCCCTCTTCTCTCGCTCTCTAGTTCTTAAAGAACAACCCCGACACGAACAAATATGAGGGCTGGCCAGAGCTGCTAGAACTGGAGGGCTGTGTGCCCCAGAAGGTGTTCTAGGGCTGCTGCAGCTCCTCCTGGGTTGCCGCAAGCTGGACTGGCTGGAGCTGAAGGACAGCGATGGACAAGGGACCAAGAGACTGGTCGTGGCAGCATGGAGATCCTGAGGGTCCTTGCGCCCCCTGCGCACTTCCCCTTTTCAAGAACAAAAGCCATTGCTTGGGCTGAGGCGGCTGTCCTACCTGGAGATGGCCAGCTTCAGAGGGTCCTTCCGGGGCCACTGCTTGTGGAGAAAACAGGTGGGCTTCCCCTCAGGATCTCTGACTATTGTCCCTGTGAAAGAATGGACTGCCCCCACCGAGGCAGAGTTAAATTTCGTTATCGCTGATGTTGAATGAACTTTCCAAAACCTCAGTGTGCAGTGTTTCTCCCTGTGACCGAAAAGGTCTAGATTGGGATTACTTGGGCTACAAGATCGAACAGGTTGGCGACAGCTTCTGGCAGCAGGTTTGCAGCTGGAAAGAAGGTTGATTTCATAGGGATTTCTGTTTAAGCATGAAAAAACCCTCAGTTCCCAGCATAGGGTGTAAGAGCTACATGAACAGAGCCAAGGGCTGGATGCTGGACATGGAGAACATTGCACCTGCCGTTAGAATAAGAGCTGGAGAGGACAGGGAAGTTGCAGGGCGGGGTGTCACGGGGGGCGGGGGGGCGGGGCGGGGCGGTTCTGAAAGAGGCAGGAGAGAACAGCCAGGCTGAAAGACAGACTTCAGGGAGGACATCAGAGCTGCTTTGCAAAGTTTCCCAGGAGCAACCCCTGAGATTTACTTGAGACGCGATTCTAGAAAACACCAATAGGAGAACAGAGAAGTAAAACAGGGAAGAGAAGGAGCCAAGAAGGTGTACTATGAGCAAGTGGAGCTAACCCACAGACATCCCTGGGAATTGGTGTAGAGAACACACCCCAGAGATCACTTAGTCAGGGTCAGGAAGATGGAATCTTTATGTACCACCTCCCATCAGCCATTGTTGGCGGGCTGCTAGTATGGGGGCCTGTGTGAATTCCTAGGCCCTTCTCATCTGCCCTACATAGGGAAGAGTTGTCATCTTAGCTTCACAGGGAGTACTTAACCAAGAAATATTGATACCAGCCACCAGAGGCCACTGAATGATGAGGCCTGAGGGATATGGTGCTAAGACCCCTCCTGGGGTCTCTGAGGAGGTCCCGGGGGCCCTAGGCCAAATCCTGGAAGCAGAAAGCACTAGCACTCAGGCCCCTAGAGTGTGTACCGGACTCCAAGACTCATGGAGAAGATGACCACACCCTAGTGCACATGCCCCAAGCAGTGGAACAGCAGAAGCTGAAGTCCTGTGCACTCCACCGGTGCGGGCTCACAGTTCCCCAGCCCGGGAGAAAGGCAGGGCTTCGAATGTGCCGAGGGATCTGGGGTAGAGAAGGACAGAGTGTGGGAAGTTTTGACAGGGGCCATGATGGGCTGGGGCGTGGGCTGTGGTTGCAGTGGCGTCACGATCAATGATAAAAGCCCGATGCGGAACGTTAAGCAAGCTTGGCTGACAAAGGAGCCCAGCCAGCCACCTGGCCAGTCCCACTTTCCCCTCCTCCCCCACCTACTTGTAAATCATGCTCAAGGATTACAAGTGGGCATTGCTGGCAGCCCCAACTAACCACTTACACAGACACCCACATCAATATAATGTGTGACAGCTTTACATACGCAAACAAATTTGCTCCATTCCTCCCATTTTGTCCCAAGTGGCCAGGCCCTCTGCCCAATTAGACAGTAGGTGCTAACAAAGGACTCCCACTGAACCTGAGTGCCTTCCTTCCCAATCCCCAGAAATAATTGAGTAAAGCTGAGGGGGTGGGGGCGTCCGCAGGCCGAGGACCCTGACCGAGCCCTCCTTTTCTCCCAGCAGACTCACTCCTGTGCTAACCAGTAGTTACCCACCCCAGGCAGTGTGGTGAACAGGAAGGCCAGCCAGGCCTGGCTCCGGGCACTGGCTCTGCCCCTTGCTAACATAGGTTGATATGTTATCTTTATCCTGACAGAGGTTCAGACCTTGTGACCATTACTCAGGTACCAGCTACTGTCTTCCGATGCCTCAGGGGTTGCTGATTATCCAGGGAAAGGCTAGGTCCATGAAGGGTATAGATAGATGACAGATAGATAGATAGATAGGTAGGTAGATAATAGATAGATGATTTCTAGAGCTAGGATTTAAAACTAAATTTAATCAAAGTCATAGGAGCGCTTGGTTTCGGTGGTCACTATTTAAAAGGACATGGGTGGCCACCTGGTTATAAGAGCAGACACATGGTCCATGCATTGCACAATGCTTTACAGAAGACTGAGGAAATGTCGATGGGATGGGGCAGCGGGCATGGCCCCCTGGATGGGACTGAGCGTGGGCCTGGACTAGGAGATGAGACCACTGGTCTGCAGGAATTGTTGTCATTAAAAGGTCAGTTCTCAATGAAGAAAAGCTCAGAGTGAGGAAGCGACACTTGCCACAGAGCCTGTGAGAGAGGCCACTTGCTGCTGCTCACTGGGGAAGGCGTGGCTGAGACTGCGGGCCATGCACCTCCCACCCCACCCCGACCAGGGCAGGCCTCAGTGGACCAGCTGCTAGATGGGGTTATGGAAAAGAAGCCCGGGAGACCGTCAGCTGTATCACCAAAAGCCACCAAGGAGATAACATTCTAGAGCCAGCCACCCTGGGCCCCCTGGGATGGGCATCGCAAAGTGACCAATGTCTGTCAGACCCTCAACATCATTTCCAGGGCACCATAGAGACCCCCAGCTCAGCTCAGGATGGGGAAGGTCAAAGTCTAAGAAAAAGGCTGTAGCCAGTAGAGAGCTGTCTATATCACTGAGTCTATTACCCATTATGAGCCAGTTTCCTCACTTGACAGTTGTTGCTCACCTGCTACATGTCAGCAACTAGGTAGGCATCGGAGACGCTGTGGTGAAGAAAACCAGGCACAGTCCCACCTCATAGTCTAGGGGTTGGGGCGTGGCAAGGGGAGGGAGCAGATCAGGAGACAACAGGGCTTGGTAAGTATTTGTTAGGGAAGGGCCTACAGAATCAGGAATGGTGCCCTGGAGGAAGCCTTGGGAATGCACAGGAGTTCGCCGGGCAAAGAGGGAAAAGAGGAGCGTTCCAGGCAAGGGAACAGCGTGAACAAGGCCCGGAAGGGCAGAGGGCAGGTGAGAAGAGATGAGTGTGCAGGAGTGTGACCTGAAAGGCCTTGAGGGCTGGGCAAAGGGGCTTGGACTTTGTCCCGGGCCCACGAGGACACACTGAGAGATTTCGGCTGGGCAACGGCACGATCAGATTTGCAGTTTTAAAGAATGGGCAGCAGATTTACCATCACTGTTGTTAACAGCATTGTAACAGCATTGTCCTCTTGGCTGCTGAGTGAAGAAATCAGCAGAGACAGGGAGGCCAGTGAGGAGTCCGGCCTCATCCAGGGAGAGAGGGTGGTGACAGGGACCAGGAGATGGCATGGGAATGGAAAAAGGAGAACCAGTCCCAGGCACATTCAAGAAGTAAAATGGACAAGACTTGGGGACTAGTTTTCTCATCATCGGGGTGGACAAGACTTCAGGAATCTCTGCGAGTTACTCGTGGCCTCAGAATTTGGGGCCTGCATTTCCCTGTCCCCTGGTCAACATGCCTTTCTTTCCTCTCCGCCTGCGGGAGTGAGGATTGGTGATGAGGGGGAGAGTATCCCTCTGTTCCCGCAGTCATGGCAGTCTTTCCAGTGGCTGTAATTCTAGTCCTTGCCAGTAGGTGGGAGCACAAGATAGAAAGGGAAGAGTGGCCAGGTTTCTGGCGCCCGCCCAGTTCTTGGGAAAGGTGCTGTGCTTAATGGTTACCTTGGACTTGCCAATGGGCAGCAGATTTACCATCACTGTTGTTAACAGCATTGTAACAGCAGTGCCTAACTTCTATGGAGAATTGCTGTTGTCCAAAGATGCTTTGTGCAGAATTTTACATAAGTTACCTCAATTTATCCTCACAGCCCCGTAGGGTAGGAAGCCATTGTTATCCCCTTTTACACATATGAGGCTCAGAGAGGTCGAGTGACTTGTCCAAAGTCACACAGCTAAGAAGCCTCAAAATAAGGATTGGAAGCCCAACGGATCTCCATCACTACAGGAAACGGACTTTTCAGAAACACTTCTCTTAAAACTACTCTCCTCCTCTCTCTCCTTCCCTTTTTCCTCCATCTCCTTCCCCTCTACTTCCTCCAGAAGGCCTCTGAAGACATTTGAAAATTGCTCAGAACTTCTGGATCAAAATTCTCAATATCCACCATCACTGCTTTAGGAGAGTTGGAGAGGGAGTGAGTTTGAGAGATTTGGAACTCCTCTTTGAAACCCTCCCACATTTTTCAAGCTTGCTCCCTTCTATAAAGTATGGGTCAAGAAGAAGCAGATGTTTGTCCCCATTTTGCGGATGGAGAAAGTGGAGCTAAGAGCTGTGCCCAGGCCACTCAGGGAGACAGGACAAAGCAGCAACTAGAACACCTGCCTGGTCCCCTTGACCCTTCACCACCTACTGTCATTTCATAAATCATTGTGTCTGTGCTCCAAGCACCTCCTCTGTGCCAGGCGCTAGACTAGGCTCTGAGACCACCACCCCCGTCTTTTCTACCCACGGCATGGGGTTCAAATGTTGCATTTTGGACCCACATCCTACCAAGAGCCTGACTTCAGACTTTCAGCCAAACGAGGACCCCAGTCAACCAGGCTTTCAGTGCGGCTCATAAGTCATAGTTCAGCAGGACTCCAAGTGGATGGGGAAAAATTAATAAATGTGTAAAATTCCTTTTCTCTCCTCCCATCCTACCAAGAGCCAAGCTGATAGACACTTTTGGGATGGCTGCCAAAGGAGCTTGATCTTCAGGGTTGACTTACGACATTTTACTGCTCTGGCTGACTGCCCATTTAGCCATTGTTCTTTACAGTTTGGGGGATGCTCTTCCTACTGCAGGAAATCAGAAGCTGTGCCCCAGCCATGACTGAAACAGAAAGAAAAGGAATAGGGAACAGCAGCAGCAGGGGCTGGTGCAGAAGAAGGGGCAGAAGGAAGAAGCCATATTTTTGCTTGACTGGAGAGGGCATGGGTGTTGAGGGAAATACGGCAACAACAATAACAACTGTATTAATCATTGTCCTGCAGGGAGCACTGGTGGTGAGTCAGGACTGTGTTAAGCACTCTACATACTTACACTGTTTATTTAATCCTCCACCATTTTTTATCCATTCAGCAACATTTACTGAGTGACTGCAATGTGCCAAGACTGGGACAGACCAGGTCCCAGTCTTTGTGGAGCTGTCATTACAGGTGGGAAGACAAGGAACACAGAAATGATACCATTTCGGGTACTGATAAGTTCTACAAAAAATAATAAACAGAAAGCCTGGGACACTGCTTTGCATAGGGGGTCAGGGAAAGCTTCTATGAGGAAGTGATAATTGGGCCTGAAGGATAGAAAGAATTATGCAATTTTCAAAAAACGGAGTCAAGGGAGAGAGATGGGAACTGTTCCAAGCAGAAAGAAAGAACAGCAAGTACAAAGGTCATACGGTGAGGGGAAATGTGGTGAAATCCAGGAGCCGTCAGGGGGATGGGTAAGAAGGAAGTGAGGTCCGAGGGGAAAGCAAGGCTTGTTAGGTTACACGTGAACCACGATCATCTTGTGAACCCCAGGGGATGTCGTTCCATGGGCAAAGTCGGATCTAGGATGCCATAGCCTTGGCTCTTCGCCACACTGCCATTTCATAAATCGTCACGACAACCTCGGGCCAGTCACTGTACCAGAAGAAAGGGAAGGGTGACTAGTTCCCCCCTGCCCGGCCAGTTCTTGGGAAAGGTGCTGTGCTTAAGGGATTTGTTACCTGGGGCTTGCCAATGGCAGAGGACTTATCAACAGTATTGTACACAGCATCGTAAGAGCAGCCCCTAACGTCTATGGAGAATTGCTGTGGTCCAAAGATGCTAAGTGCAGAGTTTCACATGAATTGCCCCATTTCATCCTCACCACCCCATGGAGGAGGGCCATTTTTATCCCTTGTTGCTCAAGAGGAAGATTATAAAACAGGGAATGACATGATCTGATATACACTTTAACAAAAGGATGGCTTCAGATACACACACCCTCCCCTTTCAGCTCTCGGAGCAACCCTGTGTGCTATGATTATCTGACCCCAAACACAGATGAAGAAACTGAGGCTCACAGAGGTTAAATCCTGTGCCCTGGGTCACACAACTGTGAGAAACAGAGCTGCGACCAATGAGATTCCCGCCTTGATCTTGCCCCATGTTGGCAACAAAGAGAAGGAAAGGGCTGGCTCAAGTGAGGAGAGGGGCCTGCCAGGGGGTACTTTGAGAACTTGGCCCCTGGCCTCCAGATATTTTCCTGGCCTGAGCTCAGACCCAGCTGCCCTCCGGCCCTCCCGCCTGGCCTGCTGCCTCTTGAATGGAGTGTTCTGTTGTCGGTCTCTGCTCCAGGACAGCCCCCACCACGGGCCACCAGTGTCTTCAAAGGTCTCTAATTAATGGGCCTCTCCAGCCTGAGCATTTCCATCCCCACGCATCCCGCCAGAGCCCCGCGTCCCGGCCGCCCCACGCAGCCTCCGCTCCCTGGGCCCCATCTGCTGAGCGGTGCCCAGCCTGGCAGGAAGGCCAAGTCCTTCCCTGTTGGGCCGGCCAGATGTCACCCGCTGTGCCTGAGCTGCCTGCTGACTGCACAGTGAGAGGACTGCTCTGCTTCTCCCCAATCCCAGCTACCTCGGTTTCCCTTCTTGAGAAAGAGGCAGAGGTCTGGGAGGTGACAAGCCACAGAAACTCCAGGAAGGTGTGTGGGCCACCTGGGGACATCAGATCCGTCTGTCAAGATCAATCACCCTAAGCCTGTCTGGGGAGCTCCAGGCTTGGGAGCAGCTGTGAAAGCCGCCTTTGTGCCTGAGGAGAATGAGCTGCAAGGGGACAGGGGGCCCTAGCCCAGGGAACCCCTCGGACCCCAGCTCCTGAGACCAGCACCAGCAGGGAGGACCCCCAGCCTGGTCCCCGAGGCCCACCCAGGCCTGGTGCCCAGTTCGTGCCATGGGAGCCACCCAGGGGAAGAAGGTAGGAGCCCAGAGGGTTTTGTTGGGGCCCTGGGCATGGAACGGGAGCCCGGCTCTGCCAGGTGGGAGCCCTCACACACACACCCATCAGCTCCTGGGAGCCTGGGCCAGGCACCGGCCCCTCGTCCCCCTCCCTGAGCTCACAGCCAAGATTTGCATCTAGAAACCTGGCTGGGGCTCCAGGCAAAGCCAGTGACTGATCTTTGCATCTCTGGGACAGACCTAGGGGCTGCCTGCTCTCTCAGCAACCCAACCTCACACACACGGCTCTCTACTTCCCTGCCTGCAGCCTCCCGGGCCACCCCGCCCCATGTACCAGGAGAGTGTGGGCACAGGTGGATGCAGGGGTAAGATAAAAAATAAGGGTCATTATAATTAAGTTGGCTAACCAGTTGTCACCAGATATTGGGCTGTGGGCAAGTTATTGAAGTTTTCCATAACTCATTTCCTCGTCTGTAAGATGGGGACAATAGCAGTCACTGTCTCAGAGGCCCGTAATGAGAATTAAATGAATTAAAATATGTTAAGCATTTGAAACAGTGGCTGGCACATAGTGGACTAAGTGTAAATAGTACTCTGTTATTACTAGAATGCTCTTTATATTATTATCCAGAACCTTCTCAAACTGGGCTCTCAGTTGGGGGTTTGCAGAAAGCACAGCCAGTCTATGTTTCTGAAAATGTGGTTTGTAGGCACCCTGCGCCAGAATTAGATATGGGGTGTGGGAGGGGGCTGCTTAAAAGGTCACCTTCTCACCCTGGCTGAGAGGCTCAGTTGGTTGGAGTGTCGTCTCATACACCAAAAACGTTGTGGGTTTGATCCCCAGTCGGGGCATGTAAGAGAAGCAACCAATTGATATTTCTCTCTAACATCGATGTTTCTCTGTTTCTCTCTCACATCAGTGTTTCTCTCTTTTTCCCTCTCCCCACTCCAACCCCTTCCTCTGAGATCAATAGAGATGTCCTTTGGTGAGGATTAAAAAAAAAATAGGTCACCTTTTCAAGGCCCGCCCAGACCTTCTGGATCAGAGCCTCTGAGAATCTGAATTTATTCACCAGCTCTCTGGGGATTCTCATACATGCTCAGGGGCTCAGGGATGTCACTCCAGCAGGGTGGGCAGGCTGCCTGGGACCCCTCTGGATCTCAGCTCCAGCTCTGTAAAGTGGGGCTGGTACCCAAATGCCCCAATAAACAGCGGCTCCAATCTTCAAACAACCCACGATGACCTAGTCCATTAAAGTTAGGGAATAGCTTGTGGGGAGGGGGAGAAGGACAGGCTTTGGCCCCATTCTTCTTGAATCTAAACTTTCTGCCAACCCAGCACCTCCCACATTTTTAAAACTTAAAGTAAAACACATCATGAACCCCATGAAGGAATGTCCCTGGACCTTAGTTTCCTCATTTGCAAAATGAGGGTGGTGGGCCAGCTAACTAACCCCTGGGGTCTTCGAAGTGCTGGTGTTGGCTCCTGCTGCCTCCACAGCCGCTAACTTCATTTTTCTAAATGCTCTCTGTCCTGGGGCTGTCACTGCCCCCTCACAGTTCTCACCCCTGCCTACAGGGGCCAGTGTGAGCCACCTGCAGTGGGGCAGGTAGATTATCTGACCCAGCCCCAGGGGAGTCCCAGAGCTGACTTCCCAGCCTGGTACCAGCCCTGGCCCCAACCACTCCACCCTTCCTGCTCCTCCCCTCTCCCAGGGGAGAATTAGCTCAGTCTCTAGATCCTTCTCTGCTGAACATGAATGTAGGGAGAGAGTCATCTTACAGACTAGCTCCCTAGGCCTAGAAAAGACTCCAACAAGGTCTAACCCAAGAGTAGTAAAATGTGTTTCCTGTACTGCCTCTCCCACTCCCCTCACCCGTGGCAGACATCACGAATCAATCCCTGCACCCTTTCTCACTAAGTCTAGATAGCCTCAGAATCTTTCTCAACACAGTATCCCGAGACTCCCCCACCAGTCTGTCAGAACTAGCCCCCAGGTTGAAAGCCATGCTTATCCTGGGCCCAGGCCCCTCCTCTGCCTTCAGGGAAAAGCCCTGCTGGGAGAAGGCAGCAGGGCACCATGATTGAGACGTGGGCTTAGAGTCAGACCGGCCCCAGGTTAGTTCCTCCACATCCACTTCAACCTTGGACAAGCAGCTGCACCTCTCTGAGCCTCAGATTCTGCCTCAAAAAGCTGACGATAATAGTCCTTATCAGAGTGTTGTAAGACCTAAATGACATCATGCCTGGGACAAAACATGTGCTCAGTCAATGTTGTCTTTCCCTGGATTTGATCCTTTCACATGTGCATCCTCTTCTGAGCTCACAACTGTTCCTTTGAGCCACAAGGGCATCGATACCACACGCAACAACAGATGAAAAAGTTGAGGGCCAGCAAACATGACTTCTTCCAGCTGGTCAGTGGTGGAGCCAGCCTGGAAAAGGGCTGTGAGCATGTCCAGGCTAGATTCCCTCATGATCCCCAACCTATATGCCCACCCAGCCCCCCACAGGCCTCTCTCTCTCTCTCCCCACCCCTCCTCGAGGCAACAGCCCAGCTGGCTCCTGAGTGATGTCTGTGGGCCTGGCTGTGTGAAATGGAAGGCCCAGCATCCAATCATTTGTTCTCCCACTAGGTTGTCCTGTGAAGGACACTGTCCTGTCCTCGGACCCATTCCCACAGTTATAGCTGAACCATAGTCATAAAATAAAAGTTCTGGAAAACCCTTGGTGATACGGTCCAACAGCCTCCCCGTTATACGGCTGGGAAGACTGAGGCCCAGAGACGAGAAGGACCTGCCCAGGGCCATGCAGCAAGGGCCAGGGCATTTCCACAATGCCTGGCATCTCCAAGCCAAACTGCAAAGCGCACAGGAAGGCAGTGCCTCTCCTTCCCCCTCACCTTGAAGGGCAGGACCAAGCTGCCCCTGGGAGATGACTCCTGCCCACTAAGGTGCTCTCCTGGTACATTTCTGTCCATAGAATCCTCATTTGCTCCTGCATCAGCCTCTCAGAGAAAAAATTCACTGGGTATGTGCTACCCACTGTGCTGGGAGCTGGGCCAAGGATGGAAAGGCATGGCTCCCACCCTTACAGCCTCCTTGTTGGTTGGAGACACTGAATGCAAACAAATAATGATAGTCACAGTGGAGATGGGGGTGATTGCTCAGGTAAGTGTTAGGGTCATCTCTAGCTGCAATGTAAGGGCTGGGTGTGAGGACTCCAGTTAGTAGACGGCTGTGGAAATCCCATAATTCAGATGTTTTATTCAGGATGTTGTCTGCTACAAAGAATGGGAACCCCAGCTCCAGCTAGTTTATACAGTAAGGAAATGTACTGGGTTCTCTAAACAGAAGTTCAATGGCTTAATAATGTCTCCAGGACTTTTCCCAGAAGCCCCCAGCTAAGGTTCTCTAGAATTTCATTGGCTCAAATTAAGGCACGTTCTCATTCCTGACTTATCCCCTGGGACACTGGGTTTGCCTGGAATCCTGAACCTGTCGCTGGCAAGGGATGGAAGTGGGACCGTGTGACCAGAGCCCCCTTGAAGCTGGAGATCAGTTCTCCAGTGGCAGGGCTAGTGCTCAATGGGAAGGGTAGAGTGGATGCTGGACATTTAATCATAATGCCCCACCCTGAGGGGGAAGGGATATTGTCTCTGACCCCAGTATAAACAGAGAGAATGGAAAGAACTTGAAAAGTTCCAGGATGTGGCACAAGGAGTACAGAAGTCAAAACACAGACATTATTGCTTATATTCATCCTTGTGAACTTCCCTTGGATGTGACATTTTTTTAATCTGCAAAGTTGTTACACTGGCCACTATCAGAATTCTTCTGAGAATCAAATGACCATCCTCTCAATACATGGAAACAATGTCTCCATTTGGAATATTTTAGAAGCTGCAAATATTGGCCAATGGGCATATGTTGATAGTAGAGTGAGGAGCGCAGGCAGCATGTCCTGGATAGAGCCTTGTTTGAGCCCACGCATTACACAGCGAGGCCACAGCTCCTTGGGCAGCAATGTGTCTAGAAAAAGCAACTCCTATCGGCCTCAAACACCAGCTGAACATTCACAGAGTCCACAGAATCTGGGCACTCTGTCCCCGGCCCCCACTGAGCAGCCACTGTCTTTCCCCCAAGAAAGGGACAGGCCCAGGAGCTTCTGCAGGCTATTCCTACATGAGTTCAGCCATGACTTTAATCCCACCCTTACAGAGGCTGATACTAAAAAAACGTACTAAATGATACTCTGATACTAAAATATATATATTACTGATAACAGCTCACCTGCATCACAGCATTTGCACTAATTCTCTGACTGAATCTTCCAACAGCTCTTGGAGGTGGGTACTTTTATTATGCAAACAATCAAAGGCATGGAAAGATTAATCAAGAGTCTAAGGGCCACCCAGTTAGAAAGTGGCAGAGTCAAGTTTTGAAGCAGGCAGTTTAAGGAATCTGACCTCTTAGCCAATGGACATCAGTGCGGGCGCTGATGAAAGTGGGCTCTTGAGCAGGCAGAACAGTGTTCGAATCCCACCTGGGTCCCCTGCTGGGGCAACTTGCTTAATCTGTCAAATGGGATAATGACTTCATCTCCCACACTAAGATGAGGTAAGGTGCCTGGCATACAGAAGGCACTTGGGGAATGGTGGGTGAAACTGTTACTGTTGCTCTAAAAGCTGCAGGCGGCACTTCAGCAGAGAGGGTGCCCGCTGTGTCCCCAAATCCACAGTATAACCCTTGATGGCTTGGGTGCTTAGCATTCTCTAAAACATTTCACCAAACTCAACACCATCCAGGTTTTTCACTTCCCTGAACAAATCCTGTGTTCTGGCTGTTGATGTTTGCAAAGATGTTCATCACATTGCATTCAACTTCATTAGAAGAAAGTCTCTTTGGCTGAAACAAATGGGAAAAAATACGGGTGATACGGCCAATTTTATAAAGGGCCTGGAACGGTATGTTTGTTCTTACAGACCCCGGAGGGCACGCATGTGGCTGGGCCCCACC